ATTAAAAATCTGCTTCTGTACAATACTTAGCTTCCCATACCCCGTTATTAACACTTTTCGGGAAACACTTAGTATCTCTGAAAGTTCAGCCATGCATGCTGTGTCCTTGGCTTGCAGAGGGTTTTTCAAAGTATTTTTGCATTGTTGTGGCTCAGCCTCCTGCCTGCTCTGGCTTGTGACCGGGTGTGTTGAGAGGGATGGATCCTCAAGCAAGCGAGCACTGTGGTGGAAAGCCCATAGGTCTTCTAGGTCCCATCAAGGTAGGGAAATGAGGTGCCCACAACCACTCCTCCACTAATGGGTCTTTAGGAGGCCCTGAAGTGGCCAGGAGAGCAGGGCTAGGAGGAAATTTGGGAGATCCAATCTGGGCTCACGAGGTTTTGCAATAGACTGAAAGTTTCCCTGGTAAAGCAGATCCAGGGCTGAGGGACCATCTGTCCTACAGAGGCAGTGAGTGCCCTGAGGGGAAATAGCTACTTCGGTCGAATTTTGAGCTAAATAAGGGAAGCCATGGATTTGATTTAGAACAGAAATGGTAAAGTAGCAGCTTAACTGTGTAGAACTGTTTTTAAAATAATGGCTTAGTTTTGCCAGTCTACTATTTGTTAAGATTGATAAACATTACTGGAAAGGTTCTTGAGGACTTCCAGTTGCCTGCAGGTTTTCAGAGAAATCTTTCTTTCTGTATTTACCCAGTCTCTCTGCAAAGCTAAATTTCTGAACTGTATGTAGAAACCCCCCCAAAAAACCAGAACATTAATTAACAACGTAGCTCCAAAATGCAGCAGATCTGCTCAGCAAATTTTCCTTATTTCTGAATAAGCAACTCTGGGTAATTTAAAGAAGCTCTCAACATAATTTACACAGACACTTAGATTTTCTTAGACCCTGTGGTCACCTTTTTCCCTCAGGATCAAAATGAATTGCTCATTTGTAACTGTAAGCAGCAAGATGCCTGGCTACCTGCAGGTCTGTTCACACCTGTTGTAACACAGTTAATAATAAAGTCCCTGAAAATATGATTTAAATTATCACAGCTGCATACATTTTATAGATTAGCTGGCTCGGTTTTGGGATTGCTAAATGAGTAAGACTGAGACTGTTCTTTGCAAACAAGGCATCCTTCTTGCATCCTGCAAAATACATGGGGGAACTGTTGCCAGTATCTTGAACTGATGTATCACTGTACGTGTACTGAGAAGTCCAGGGAATTATCTCAAGCCTTATCAACTTAATCCCAAATTAAGGGTTTTACACAGAAATCATTTTGCCTTTGTTCCGGAGTAAGAACAAAGCAGCTTTGTCATATGAGCATAGGTTCAGGTTGGAAGGGACCTCTGGGGATCTCTGGTCCAACCTCCAGCCCAGAGCAGCATCAGCGAAGAGGTCGGGTCAGGTTGCTTAGGGCTGTACGCAGTCTGGTCTTGAAAACGTTGGAGGGTGGAGACTGCCGAGCCTCTCTGGGCAATGCCTGGCTGTCCTTATGTCCGGTCAGAAATTCTTGTCGTTTCTATTTAGGTCTGCTGTCCCCTTCCCTCCAGCCACACTGCTGTAATAAGGAGCCTGGCTCTGTATTCTTGATAACCTCGCCATAGCTGTTGGAAGGCAGCTATTTCCCTGTTTGAGACAAAAATGGAGACAGACACTCAAGCTTTTTAAAAAGAACAGAAAATGTTGATTAGCACGTAGGGTAGGACATCAAGGTTTTCTTCCCAGAAAATTGTCTTGTGTTTTTCTTTAACAAGAACAAACAAGCAGATACCATTTCATTGTGATCTAGTAGATCTAGTAGATATTGACAGGATTATATTTGTTGCTGTGTGTTTTCCTAATGTGTTAGGAGAGGGAGTAATGGTAACCGAGGGAAATGTGTCACATACTGAATCCAAGAGGGGGAAATCCATGTCCGGCTGACGGGAAGCTGTAGGACATGTGGCGGCAGAGAGGGCAAGACGGCAGCGTTTCAGAGACTGCTTTGGAATATTCTTGAGCGCCTTCCCTGGCATGACAGTGACGGAGAATAGGCCCAATCAAGCATGTAGTGTTTACATCCCTCCAGCCTCTTCCCTGGGGGATGGGGCAGGAAGAGGAGAGGGAAGGAAGCGAGGGATGATTGATGGGTTTTGAAAAGCTTTTCCCCGCGAGGGGAAGGTGCGGTCACTCTCCGCATCTCCAGCTAACAAAGCCCTCCTGGAGGTGCAGCAGATGTAAGCTTTGTCACCCCTTTGGTGGCCACGACACTGTGCAGAAAAATAGTCTTCCTATTTTTCTTTTGGGGAGCACAGATTTGAGCAGAAGTAGCCTGTCACTGTTACAGTCTATACTGCTTTAAGACAGTGTTTCAGCACTGAATCCGACTGTGTCATCTGTGACCATGGGGCTATAATAAGTAAGACCGGAGCACAGATCGCCGACTGTACGTCGTACATCTTGGGAAGGGATGAGCACACAGCTACATTTCTATCAAATTAAGCCACAGGTACATGAACATATTAAGCCAATACAATCTGATACCGCTGCCAAAACAAGCAGTCATACCCACCCTCTCGCCCCTGCCTATTTTTGCTCCCGTGCTACCTCCTCCATTACACTGGCACCAGCAGTAGCACAGCCACATGCTGAACCAGACAAAGGAAATGATCTGGAAGAAAACTAACCTGATCAGAGAGGAAAATAAAATAAAATAATAATAATAATAATAATAATAAAGGATTCACCCGGGATCAGTCGCTGAACCATTGCTTTTTTCATCAGTGATGCTAACTGACATTGCTGTAAAGCGGGCATGAGGCTACAGCCTTAACTAGACCAGGGAATATGAATTTATCTCAGCTTTAAGCCTCTGTGCTTAACTTTATGCCAGCAGTGGGAATACAAATGATCTGTGATCCAGCATGAAGTTAGGGTGGTACAGACAGACAGTACCTGATCTGGCATAAAGCCTGCCGGTACAAGCTTACTCCATCAGACATTTTTCAGTGGCGGTGATCACCATGTGGCTGCAGTGCTTTTCATCCAGTACTAGCAGCCCTTAAACTTGAGTCGTCAAACCGAGGCCATACTAAATGAGATCCATTTTAGGACTTGGAAGAAGAAGGAAAGTTACGCAGAGCATAGTTCTGCCAAGTGACGGTGCTTTCCTTCCGTCGGCTGTACTCAGATGGGCTCTGCTCTGTGGTAGCAATGTATTAGGATACCAAAATACTTGGTGATTATTTCTAGGGAACTGAGTAACTGAAGGTTGTGGCTTTTGTAGATACGATTGCTGTCAGACAGTGCTGTGTTACTCGGCCTTTCAGTAATGAACTACCTGGCAATTTTTTGTTTCTTCCCAGCTGTTTCCCATTGCACTGTTTGCATGTGTGAGGTTAGGGCCTCGGTATTACCAGAAAGAGGAAAAGAAACCAAAAGGTGCCTGATGATGCATGTCCTTACCAGGTGGTCTTCTGCAGCACCGCCGATCAGAAACTCAGTGGCTTGACAGAGCTGTCTGGACTTCTTAAAAACTCGATTACCAGCATCACTGGGTAACGTAAATGTAGTAACGTGAACGATGCAGAGCCACAGCGAGCAAAGTTGGAAACCCCTTTCCTCCATCTGTCCCAGTCTCGTTACCTAAAGAACTGCAGCGTTTCCTAGGCCCAAATTTTGTGAAGAAAATGAGAATCCCGCCCCCGCCCTTCCCAAATACTGCCTCCAGGCATTAACGAGGGCTTTGACCGGATGTGCCTCCCCCGCTCCCCATCTCTCATGGAGAAAAACTCGAGGGTTAAGACCCGCGGTATCGATTGCGCTCGCCGCAGCAGCCAGCCTTGCAGTTTGGGGTGGGGTGGTGGTGGTGGTGGGGGGGGGTTACACACAAAT